ACGGAAGATAAACGGACCGAGCACACACAAACACGAACACACACGAAGGATAAATGGACCCGGTAGCAGGGAGGTCTGACAGAATGCCTTTTCACACCTGGCTGAGCCCAGCGGAAGGTGACAGAGTCTCATCTCCCAAAGTGAGCGCACACACATTCACACACACACATTGGGGAGTTCAGGGTCATAAGCAGCATCATGAATAAAATGAGGCTTTCTTAAACAGAAGGAGCCCTGTGTGTGCGCGCATGTGTGTGTGTGCATGTGTGTGTGCGCATGTGTATGTGTGTGTGCCCCTAACCCCCATGCCAGTTTGGATCTGTAACGACCTTCTGTTCCCTGTGCTTAAATGGCTTAAATACTTCAATTAGACCTGGGTCACAATCCTCCACCCGTTAAAGCACAAACACACAGCATTCACACAAAAAAACAAAAACACATTTTCACCCTCGAGCAACCACAGACTCTCGTCTGCATCGTCTCCTCATCTGTGGTTCTGAGTGAAACCGAAGCGAATGAGCGTCTTCCACTGAAAGACGAGCAACAATTAAACTCCGCCGCCGTCCTCCCTGCCAGCGTCTCCCCTGGAACTTCTCTGTCCCGCTCCCTCCTCCTTCCTCTTCCTCCCCATCTCTCCCACCGCGCTACCCCGCGCTAACGATGCTGCCTTTTCATTAGACAGCCCCTGCTAATTAATCTCCATAGAGGAGAGTGACAGACCTCCGCCAACACACACATGCAAAGTGCACGCCAAGATATATGCAAACACACACTCCTCTTGCTTCTTCCTCGCCGCCTCGTCCCGCGTGGTGTTGGCAGCCCATTTCATGCTTTATCACGTCTTTTAATTGACAAACAAGCTGCTCTTTTCTCTTAGGCTGAGGTCTATATCACCCCCTCACTCAGACACACGCACACAAACACACACACCAAGCCTGGAAAAGTACTTTCAAGCTTTGGATAAACACACACACACACACAGATTCTTTCTCAAATAGGCAAATGCCTCCCTGCTGACATGTGGCCCATGTGAGTGTCACAGTTTTCAACTTTCTGACACATTGTAAACACACACACACACTCACACACACACACAAACTAACATCACACACACACATAGGTCAAGCATAAAGCACATAAAAAGACTTCCATCTTCTTTGGCATTTGTTTTTTTTTTTGAGGTGGTGTGGGGGTTGAATATAAGAACTGCAGTGTAGTCAGGCAAACAATAAAAAAAAAAAAAAAAAAAAGGTTTAAGCATTAAATTATGAACAGAATGAAGTACGGGTGAATAAAACACCATTTACTTGACCAGTTTGTTAGAAGCTGAATGCTCTCTTCTGTCAGACGTGTGTGGTTAGATTTGATAGATTTTGTGTCTGATTAGACGTATTCTGCATGAAGTAAAGAACATAAAAAAGTCTGTCACTGGCTTTAACGTAAGCTGGGTTTAGAAAGCTACAGGCTTAGTCTGTCCATCCACAATCAGGTCTTGTTGGTTCCCATCTCTCTGCTTTAATTGGAACCACTGTGGTAAGAGAGTAATCTAATGGAAACACTTGTAGTACATGCTGTATTGTCCTACTGTTTTAATGCATATTCATTATTATTTTTCATTGAGTTTTCAATACTTTAGACTTTTTTGTAATCTATTAAAGTGATCCTGATCAACAGTTCTTTAGGCATTCTTTTTATTTTTTACTTTGTCTTCTTTTCCACTCTTTTTCTGTCCAGCTCTTGTATCCATGATAGGATATTGTTCTAACCCTAACCCTAACCTAACCCTGACTCGACTGCACAGTGCAGTGTGAATGCAAACACACCAGCTCAAATGTAAACAAAATGTCATGAATATTGGACCCGAACCGAACCAAGTCTACCTGACTATCTGGTGTGAAAACGACCTGAAATCAAGGTTGATGCCAAAATCTTGTTTTTTTCAAATATTCTACTAAAGAAATAAGAACAAATAATAGCTTAGTGAAAGGCTGCTCATAAAGTGTTTAAAATCCAATTTAAACTAATTCTTTGTCACAGCTACTCATTGTAAAGTCATGGAAACAGATCAGAAAAATAAAAAACTGAAAAACCCACACGTTTTTCCTGATTTAATAGTTAAATGTGTCCTATAATAAAAATTTGTAAGCAAAATTTGTGACGTAATGGAGAGGAGCGTTTTTCTGGACTAAAATTGAACAGGGATTGCAAGTAAACCTTAATATTTTTGGGTCAAGGTATTCAAATGGGTAGGAGTTACACAGTGGAGAAGAACAGAGGCAGTTCATTTATTTATGTATTTTTGTTTGTCCAAGGCAGCGCAGAGCGACAGATCCTGGTGAAAGCAATATTATCCACCACCAAGCACAATGGAGGAGCAATGGGGTGGCCAATGGTGGTCATGGCCATTCTAAATTAATCTTGGGCCACCCCAATCATTTGAGGAAGCTATATTTTTAAGCAATATAAAAACCTGAAAGCATAGTTTCTTCAAATAATAAGGGTGGCCGGTTTACATATATGCACATTGTTGCACCTACTATTATCCAAGGAGGGCGAACTGCCCTGTCAACAGAATTGAGCACCTTGTCCCCAAGTTCCGCTAATAGTTGGGGAGCAGAAACTGCTGTCAAGGACCGGTCACCTTGGGATAAGTAGCTTCAACCTAGCATTAGTAACTTAGTGCTCCCGTAATTCCCATGGCCAACAACCCCCGGCATTAATAACTTAGCACTCTGCTACCCTCCGGCCTCCAACAATCACAATATCAGTCACTCATGTGTCACTCGTTCATCTGTGAATGACTCATGGGAGGTAGAGAAGACCCAATTGTATCAATGTGTCTTTAGGTTTGACATACATTTAAAAATAAAATAGATTATCATTACGTTAGAACATCAATATAATAAACTAAAACTGCATAGTCTTAAAAGACTAAAATCTACTTCAGAGATTAAAACATGAACACGTGAAGCAGTGGTCAGGTGAATGTAAGAGCAGTGGAGCTTGACAAAGTTGACTAAATGAATAGATACTCACCATATTGTTGTACTGTCTCCAGGTTTCTGGACATTCCTGGAAGGAGAGGAAAAACGCATTTTAATGTAGTATAATTCACATCAAATGGATATTAAAGCACTGTTAAAATCATGAACATTATTTTAGAGGCACACAGAAACATTCCTGCATCTCTTCCTAAAGCTAACCCGAGGACTGGCCCGAGACCTTGGACAAGCTACATCTGGCTCCCAAGAACCTTAAGCAAACAGAAAACAACTTTTAAATAAGTTGATAGAAAAAAGATAAGAAAAAAACCCATTCTGTCACTGAAACTTAAGGAAGTCTAAATTAAATATCTTAGACAAATGCGTGTAAAATCTTTTAGTAAAGATTGGCTAAACATGTTTTAAAGTTGGACCTGTTAAAGGCTCTGGGTGGTAAGAAAGAACTTCCAGATGACTGGGCTACTAACAGTAATTAGAGACACAGGTAGGAAAGTACCTGGTGTGTCATCTGGACAGAGAAAAGATGATAAGAAAACCTGGTGGTGGAACAGTGAAGTGCAGGAAGTTATCCAAAGAAAGAGGATAGCCAAGAAGAAATATGACAGTGAGAAGGCAGAAGAGAGGAGACAGGAATATAAGGAGATGCAATGTAGAGTAAAGAGGGAGGTAGCCAAGGCAAAGCAGAAGACATGTGATGGATGAGTTGTATCGGAGGCTGGACACTAAAGAGGGCGAGAAGGACTTGTACCAATTGGCAAGACAGAGGGCTCATGCTGGAAAGGATAGGAATAGTATGTGAGGAGTGTGATGGGAAGATGGAAAGAGTACTTTGAGGAGCTAATGAATGAAGAGAATGAAAGGAAAAGAAGAGTAGAGGTCATAGAAACTGTAGACCAGGAAATGGGAAAGGTCAGGGAGGATAAAGTTCATAAAGCTCTAAAAACAATGAAGAAGAGGAAGGCTAGGGCTGAGTACCGAACCGAGGTTCTTAAATGGCACCGACTGAACTGCACCCACCGGTCGGTGTATGGATTGAAACGTCACTCTTTTTTCGATGTAAAGTTTCAGTATTGGCTGTAACGTGTCACGTGGTTTCAGTACGCAGGCAGGTAAAACACCAGACATATGACAAACAGACTACGTGTTTACACCCAGAGCTGTATAGAGCTGCCGTACCTAATCTATGTAAAATGTATGTCTATGGTGCTGGTGATGCCCACAGATGTGGTTCACGTGTGCAGCGCGTGTGTTGTCGAACAGTTTTAATTTATGAGCAGAAAGTTGTTCTGTGTTTTTCTGCGAGGAGAGAGGAGGACAGCAGCCTCCCCCCCTCCTCTCAGCATTAAAGTCAGCCTGTGAGTGTTAGAGAGCATGGACGCCTGATTCATTATCTCCACGACTGGACTCCTCTTCATCAAAGAACTCCGAGGACGGAACTGTGTCTGGGACTTCAGCTTGTAAGTTTACGTTTGTTAACGTTACTGCAGCTTAATACGTGCATCGCGGTGAATTAAACTAGAATCCATGTAACGCTAACTTTAAGATATTAGTGTGTAAATTTATTTTATGGGTATCTATGTATCTAGCTAAAATCAGAAGCTAACTAAAGATTGACAGTAACAGATAAAGCTTGTAAAAATGTGCTCATCCATACAGTCAGCTGCTTAAACAGTTCACTAATGTTCACTGTTTATGTTCTCCTCACAGGAGGTTCTGGCCCAGATGTGAGGAGGACAGACAAAAGAAAAGTGAGGTGGGGGCCACAGGACAGTCACAAACATACTTTTTTGTTAAAAGTTTGCTGCTTTTAACTACAGTGGAGGCTGCATGGTGGAGCTAAGTTAACTTTAAAGGATGCTGTTGACCAGTTAAGCTTTTATCTCTCAGCCTAAATAATGTTTTTTGAGCAATAAGAACACACCGTGTTATTGTTGATGTTTTGTGTTCTAATGTCAATTAGGGAGAAGATAAGAGCACTAAACCCCAGAGAACCACAGAGAAGATTCAGGTAGAGACACAGAGGTGCAGATGTATGTATCAGCCCTAAGCTCAGTGAATCCAGTGACCAGCTGGTGGAATGTGAGGGACACTATGCCAATGCTGTTAAACTGGTAACCAGGTATCTGTGTGTGCAACAAGCATCATCCACACCCTCAGAGTCAACATTTTCTACTGCTGGAGACACCATCAGCCAGGAGTAGGCTTGTTTGTGTCCAGAGAAAGCAGACATGTTGTTTCTGAAGAAAAACTGTTAAGTGAAAAGGTCCTCAGTGTGTAGCAGTGAGCATTAGACACTGACGTGTCACTGGTTTGAAACTGTTCTTTTGACCTGAAAATTATTTGTTTATTTTTATGTAAGAAAACTGCTTGGAATAGAGAAATACCTAAGTTAAAAAATAAAAATCACAATTTGTACTGTAATGTGTAACATAATTTTATTTTTGTTAGAATGAATATTAATTACAAAATTGGTACCCAAAAAAGAACTGTCCAGGAACTGACACTGAAGTGAAGGTACCGACACCGGTACCAATACAGATTTTTTTAGAAAGGTACCCAGCCCTAAGGAAGGCAGTAGGGCCCGATGACCTACCAGCGGAGGTTTGGAAATGGCAGTGAGATTTTGACTCAAATATTCAATGGTATATTTGAGGGTGAGAACACGTCTGAGGAATGGAGAAGAAGTGTACTGGTGCCCGTTTTTAAGAACAAAGCTGATGTACAGAGTTGTAGCAACTACAGGGGACTTAAGTTGATGAGTCACACAATGAAGATATGGAAGAGAGTTATGGAAGCTAGACAATACATTTACAATTTCATTTCAATGAAATCCAAAATTTAATTGAGGAACTTTACAGAGTACCAGAGAGATATATGCACAGGCTTTTTCACAGAATGGGCTTGAATCTGAACTAGATCTGAAAATCAGTTCAGTGAAAAGGTGACAATTTCAATTCAATTTAGTTTTTTTTTTAATGTCCAGAGGACCAGATTGAACTTTTTTGGATTTTTCTACCTGGATTATTGAGCATGCATCAGGATGTCAATTTAGTTTTATTTGTATAGTGCCAAATCACAACAGAAGTTGTTTAAGGGCACTGTACAAAAACATTAGCATACTGTAAATGCAAAAGTCAATTAGTAGAAGTTTTCAAAGGAAGGAAGCAAGCAGACTTGTTGACTCTTCACTTCGTCACAATCTCACATCAATTTCACAATCACAATTTGTGAGCAGCAGTATGGTTTCATGCCGAGAAAGAGCACCATAAATGCCATATTTGCTTTGAGGATGCTGATGAAGATGTACAGAGAGGGTCAGAAAGAACTTCATTGTGTCTTTGTGGATTTACAAAAAGCATATGGCAGGGTGCCGAGGGACGTGGTGTGGTATTGCATGAACAAATCTGGAATAGGAGAGAAGACTGGTACAGGACACGTATGAGGACAGCAGGACATGTAAGAGGACAACAGGGCATGTATGAGGACAGCAGGACATGTATGAGGTTGACAGGACATGTATGAGGACAGCAGGACATGTATGAGGATGACAGGACATGTATGAGGACAACAGGACAGTGGTGAGATGTGCTGTAGGAGTGACAGATAGCTTCATGGTGGAGGTGGGATTGTATCAAGGATTGGCTCTGAGCCCCTTCTTGTTTGCTCTGGTGATGGACAGACTAACAGATGAGGTCAGGTGGGAATTCCCATTGATTATGATGTTTGCAGATGATGATGTCTAAATAAAAGTTGAATGAATTGTGATCTGTGAACTTAGAGAGGTGGAGGTATGCTCTTGAAAGAATAGGAATGAAAGTCAGCTAGAGTAAGAAAGATTCAAATACAGGTGTGTGAATGAGAAGGAGGCTGGTGGAACAGTGAGGCTACAAGGAGCAGAAGTCACAAAGGTGCAGGACTTCAAGTACTTGGGGTCTAGTGTCCAGAAAAATAGGGAATGTGACAGAGGTGAAAAAGTGAATCTAGGCAGGATGGGATGTTTGGAGACAAGTTGCAGGAGTGATTTGTGACAAAAGGGTGGCAAAGGTCAAAGGAAAGGTTTACAAGTCAATGGTGAGACCAGCTATGTTGTATGGTTTGGAGAAAGAGCCATGGACAAAAAGACAGGAGACAGAACTGGAACTGGCCACAAGGAAGTTGTTGAGATTCTCCTTAGGGGTGACAAAGATGGATAAGATTAGTAATGAAATCATCAGAGGTACAGCACAGGTTGAACGACTCAGAGATAAAGTTAGTGAGGCCTGACTGAGATGGTTTGGACATGTCCAGAGGAGGGACAGAGGTTATATTGGCAAAAGGATGTTAGAAATGCAGCTTCCAGGAAAAAGACAAAAAGGAAGGCCAAAGAGATGAGTGGATTCAGTTAGAGATAATATGGAGGTAGATGGAGTGAGGACAGAGGATGCAGACAGAGAGACAAACTGACCACAATTTTCACTCTGCTGCTGTCTTTACTTACTCTGCTCAACCTGTTTTGTATTTGTAATTATTTTTTCTATCTTTAACATGTGATTTTTTTTGTCTTTCAGATACACCTGGACCTATACCTAGACCTACCATTCTATGTTCGTCTGTCTCTCCTTCCTGTCCTCTCAACCAGCCGGTCAAAGCAGATGGCCGCTTGTCCTAAGCCTGGTTCTGCTGGAGGTTTCTTCCTTTTAAAGGGAGTTTTTCCTTTCCACTGTTGCCACTGTGCTTGCTCAGGATGGGAGACTGCAACGAAGCCAAGATTCAACTTGTCTGCTGGATTCCTTAGATAGAGAACTTTACTAATTGGCTTTTATGTATGTGAATGTTCCTGTAAAGTGCCCTGAGAAAATTTTGTTGTGATTTGGCGCTATATAAATAAACTGAATTGAATTGAACTGAAGAGAGAAATGGAGGAGGATGACTCGCTGTGGCAATCCCTGAAGAGGGATGTTTCTAGAACTAGAATGAATCTTAAGGACTCCAAAAAGCAAATGTGCGTTGTTGTTTTTTTGCACATTTAATCTAACATATTGTCACAAGAGCCAGTTTGCAGTGTATCTTATTCATTCAACCTTTACTTAG